AATGTTTATGGCAGCACAATTCACTATTGCAAGGATGTGGAAACAACCCAAGTGCCCATCAATTCATGAGTGGATTATTAAAATATGGCATATGTATACAATGGAATATTACTCAATTATAAGAAATGACAGTGATCTAGCACCTCTTGTATTTTCCTAGATTGAGCTTGAGCCCATTATCCGAAGTGAGGTATCACAAGATCGGAAGTATAGGCCCCACATGTACTTGCCATCAAATTGATATTAACTGATCAACACTATGGTGCTCACATGGTAGTAATATTCTACAGGGATTAGGGGGCTGTGGGGGGTAAACTCACAACTGATGGACGCAGTGAGCATTGTAGAAGGGAAGGGCATGACTCTAATCCTCACTTGGGTGAGGCAAAGACATAAAACGTAACTGAAATGTTTGTACCCTCATAATATCCTGAAATAAAAATAAATATTAAAAAAAGAAAAGAAAAAGGGAAACAGATAACAAGAAGAAGGCTGCAATTAAATGTTACTTAACTGTGTCTAAGCTACATATTTGTACATTAAAAGATGTCTGTGTGTTAATCACACTTCTGAATCTGCTGGAAATCTCCATTCCTTCAGCAAATTAGCTTTCTCTAGATGTGAGAAACTAGCCCTACAAGGATCTGTTTTCCAGACAACATCGCATTATGATTCCTGACCTTTTTTCTAGAACTCTAAAAAGAGAGAATATATCCGCCATAAAGAAATACATTGCTTTTTCACACATATTTTCAGAACTCTGAAGTTATTACTTGGTCTGTGAACCATTTCCCCCACCCCCACAAGCCATGGGTTGTAAAGTCTGGTTTCCCTACCAATATCTACAAACTCAGCTTCCACAATGGCACATATCATCTGGGGTCTTTCCCTAAACCTGTTGCCACTATATCACCTCACAGTGTTTTGTTACAGGTCATCTCTCTCTTTTGTTAAGCTTTGTCATCAACAGCCCTTTTCAGAATAGTCTGGTTTCTGTCTGGGTTAGACTTAAAGATGTCATCTCTGTGTAGAACCCAGGTGATTTTCCCTTAAATATATTTCTTCCCTTACAGCAAGTTTGCCGTGATTTCATATCTTTGCTATTCCTGATCAAATAGATTCTCGTAATGCTAGCATTGCTTTAACAATAGAATAAAAACACTGAAAAATGCCTTAGCTACCACACATAATTTTTACTGAAAGGGATATTTTTACATTGCACCATATTGTTAAAGTGTAATAGAATCATTAATTTGGGAGGCTCTGAGGATCAGCTAATAATAGTCCATGTCATGATTTTTCTGTTTATTATTGGTGGGATGTCCTTGGAAAAGTTATTAAGCACTATGGGCCTTGTTCTCAATATATATCATGAAGACAATAATGGTACTTGCTCAAACTACTAAAAATAAGTATTTTGTGTATCTATTTGTGTGTGAGAGTATGTGTGTGTGTTAATTAGGAAATATGTTTTCTGAGATTTGCATAGTACCTGATTCAGGAAGTGTTTAGGATGTGATGGCTTCACTAGCCTAGTGAATGTTTAAAAACATAAATAAGGAATAATCCATGTTACATGGCACAAGAGCACAATGTAGTTCACTGAAATCATTGTGATATTGTTTTCTTTAATTCTTTGTAGTACATTTAAAATTTTTTATTGAACTATTTATGTTTTAAGTTTTATTAAAGTATTTAAGTGGATAAAGTAATATGAAAGTAATAATATCATAGTAAGATAAATTAACACAAAGGAGACATACTCACAAAGGGTGCAATTGGTCTAGGTTTAGAAATTGAACATTCCTCTCCTGAGAAAAGCAGTCCCTGCCAGTCAGAGCTGGCCAGGTATTATTGGTTAGGCCTTGGTGTTGCTGGGAGTTGGCCTTGGTGTTCTTCTTTTATGCATATACCTTTATAAATAACATTAAAGAAGTAGGAAGAAAAATGGCCCATGAAAGATGTCCATGTCGTAATTTCTGGAACTTGTCAATATGTTAAGGTGATATAACAGAGGGAATTTAAGGTTGCAGATGGAGTTAAGGTTGCTGATCAGCATAAATTCCTATCATTTTTTATTTTTGTTTACTCCCACATGACAAGTGCCTGTGACACCATCATCACACATGTGGTTAAAGCATTAAAGCATTTTTCGGGTAATGAATGGATGCAGTTTTCTCTGCATTAACTTTGGTTGTTACACAGATTTTCTTGATGTTAAATGTTTGGGTTGATTGTATTTCCTATGGATTGAATTTCAGAGTACAAACAAGATAGTAAAATGTTAATGCCATTGGAACATAAAGTTGATAAAGTTGAATTCTTTTGCTTTAGAAGTTAAACAAGTTCGATAAGCACATTGTTTCTCTGGCTTATAGAGAGAAAATCCATCATTACATAATTCCAGATAGTATGCAGGAACAGCTTTTTCAGTTGTTAATCCTGAGAAAATAAGGTGTTCCTAAAGACATATTATCTGCACCAATAATAATTATCCCAAAAGACAGCTCATGTTTTTTCTGAATTCCTTTTTCTGCCCGCTATAGACAAATGGGTTCAGAAGAAGGGTGATAATGGTGTAAAATACTGCCACCACCCTATCCTGTGAAGGGAAATGCAAGGAGTGTGGCCTCGTATAGGTAAACAGACCAGTCATATAGAATAGGCTTGCCACAATCAGGTGGGAGGAGCAAGTGGAAATAGCTTTTTTCTGCAGTTTACCTGAACTCATCTGGAATACAACAGTAAGCACATGAACATAGGTAGCTAGGGTGGCCATGAATGGTAGCAGCAGAATAATAAGTACACTCAACAGGATAGCATGCTCATACCGGGAGGTGTCCTGACACACCAATGGCAATAGAGACGGAACTTCACAGAAAAAGTGGTTGAGCCGAGACCTACAGAATGGAAGCTGAAATACACAGAGTGTATGCACTAAAGAGTTGATAGAGCTAGTGGTCCATGCACACGAAACCATGGAGCAACAAGTCTTCTTGCTCATAAGTGTAGGATAATGTAAAGGATGGCAGATGGCTACATATTGATCATAAGACATGAAACCTAGAAGAAGGGCTTCAGTCCCACCGAGGACCAAGAACATACTTGCTTGCGTCTCACAGCCCAAAATGGTAATGGTCTTACTCTGTGAGGGAAAGTCCGTTGCCATCTTGGGCACGGTGGTGGAGATGTACATCATGTCGATGGTGGACAACTGGCTGAGGAGCCAGTACATTGGGGTGTGGAGTCTGGCGTCCAGTCGGATGAAGTGGATCAGTATGACGTTCCCATCAGAGCCACTGAAAAGATGATGGTGATGGCAACAAAGAGCAAAGTGTTCATTTGGCCATATTGGAAAAGCCCAAGGAGTATAAAGTCTGCCCCAAAACTTTGATTTCCCATGTTCATGGCTTAAATCAAAATATCAAAGCAGATAATACCTGAAAAGTCTATATAGCAATGGTGACTTCCCTTTAAGAGAAAGCACAATGACAATTATTAAATGAAATAGAGTTTTCTGGAATCACATTAGGTGAATGTATCTCTTTCTTATTCAATGCATTGAATCTGTGTCTATTGAAAAATCACCATTTTACAAATGATGATATAAAAACAATAGTTTTTATAGATTATAGAAGGCAAATATAAGATAAAAATAAAGCATTTATTGCTCACAGAATATTGGGGACCACAACTATCGGCATAGCACAATAATAGTAGCTGGAATTCAAAAGGCAAGTTATTTATTGTATTTAGACTGAAAAGCTTTATTACTTTTTAAAATAAAAAAACTTTCTAAAGTATTCAATAAGTTGCTTGTATAAGTTTTACTTATACAAACTAGTAACATTCAATTATATACTTTTTTATAATAGTTGAAAATATTTTCACATTACTGAAAGCAAATACTCATTAGTATTTAGCAATATTTTATTATAATTTCAGCAAAATAACTCATATTGATAGGGAATGGATTAATTCTGTAGATCCCTTTAGGAAGAAAGAACATTTTAATGATACTGATTCTACCAATCCATGAGCATGGTAGTTATTTCCATCTGTTTCACCTTCTACAATTTCTTTTCTCAGTGTTTCATAGTTCTCCCTGTATATCTCTCACCTCTTTGGTTAAATATATTCCCAAATATTTAATTTTCTTTGATGCTATTGTGAAAAATGTTGTGTCTTTCATATGATTTTTGGCTTGACTGTTATTGGCTTATATGAATGCCACTGATTTGTGTGCATTAATTTTGTATCTGGAGACTTTACTGAATCATTTATCAATTCCAGGAGTCTTTTGGTTGAATCCTCAGGATTTTCTAGATATAATATCATATCATCAGCAAAGAGTGAGAGTTTGACTTCTTCTACCCCCATTCAGACATTCTTAATTCCTCTCTCTTGTCTGATTGCTCTGGCAAGGACTTCCAACACTATGTTGAATAGAAGTGGAGATAGTGGGCAACCTTGTCTAGTTCCTGTTCTAAGCAGGAATGCCTTCAATTTTTCCCCATTCAATATGATATTGGCTGTGTGTTTATCATATACAGCCTGAATAATTTTAAGGAATGTCCCATCTATGCCTATTTTGTTAAGGGTTTTTATCATAAAAGTGTGCTGGTTTTGTCAAATGTTTTTTCTGCATCTCTTGAGAGAATCATATGGTCTTTGTTCTTGCTTTTATTTATGTGGTGAATTGCGTATATAGATTTGCATATGTTGAACCGGCCTTGCCTCTCTGGGATAAAGCCCACCTGGTCATGATCAATTATTTTTTTGATGTGTGCTGTTGGATTCGGTTTGCTAAGATTCTGTTGAGGATTTTTGCATCTATATTCATGAGGGATATTGGTCTGTAGTTTTCTTTCTTTCCTGGCTTTGGTATCAAGGTGATATGGGCTTTGTAGAATGAGTTGGGGAGGATATCATCTTTCTCAATGTTTTGGAATAATTTCTGCAATATAGGTGTGAGTTCTTCCTTATAGGTTTGGTAAACTTCAGGTGTGAACCCATCTGGTCTGGGACTTTTTTTTTTTTCTTTTTTTTTGGAAGATTTTTTATTGCTGCTCCAATTTCTGCACTTGGTATTGGTCTGTTCAAGAATTCTATTTCCTACCAATTGAGCTTAGGGAGGCTGTGTGTTTCTAAGAATTTGTCCATTTCCTCCACATTTTGTAGTTTTGGGGCATGCAGATTTTTATAGTATTCAAAGATAATGTTTTGTGTTTCCGTGATGTCTGTTGTGACTTTTCCCTTTTTATTTCTGATTGAGTTTATTAGAGTCCTTTCCTTTCTTTTTTTTTTTTCTTTTATTTCAGCATATTATGGGGGTAGAGATGTTTAGGTTACTTATGTTGCCCTTGACCCCCCCAAGTCCCAGTTTCAAATATGTCCACCCTTCGGGTGGTGCATATTGCACTCCTTGTGTATACAAATACCCGTCCTCTCCTCCCTCCTCCCCCTTCCTCCCTGCCCGACATCCAATAGATGTTATTCTTATATGTGCATTTATGTGTTGATCCGTTAGTACCAATTTGATG